AGTGTCTCCATTCGCTTTTACAGAGAATACATCCATGCCTAAGCCAGATATGCAGATGCCTGATCTCCTGATTGTGAGTGTGCTAATGAAGGACTTCTGTGCACATAACATTGGCATGTGTAAACCTAGAGGTCAAGTAGAAGCTGATGAAGAGATCTTAAGCAGAGCAACTGTACTATGTATTTAAAAGACCAGATGGGATGGAAATTAGAAAGTCACACTAGCTGATGCAAGCATGTATAGATGCTATTCAGCATCTTGATCCAAACTGGGCTCTGGAGCAAAGTTGAGGTTACAAAAACTAACCCTAAGTACTTCCCCCGACAAAAGTGACCACCATGCTGCAACTTGGAGATGGGGGAGTGGCATCAGGGCAGCTCCCATTTTCCACTAATTCCCCCGCATAGGAGAAATTCTGCCTGTGCCAACCCTCTGATTCGAAGCAGGGATCCTAGACAGGACACTCCACCTTCAACTGCAAGGAGCAACCACAGTAAAAGGCAAAGCCCCAAGCCCTGGGGTGCAGCCCCAGAGCCAGCAGACACGTTCCAGCCTGCTGTAGCCACCGACCACCAGACTGCCTCACCTCCAGAGGAGGCCTGGCATGGACAATCCTCTAAAGCCCAGACCCCACATAACCTGGAACTCCAGACAGCCCAATTGCCTCTGCAACGCCCACCTGCACATACCAAGCCCTAGGCAGGCCTCTGGCAGCACCTCACGGGCTCGACGTGGTCCCCAGCTGCCACTTGAAGTGCTCGGCTCTATCAGATCCCATAGTGCTTTTTTGCAAAATGGAAGTGAACTAATCTCACTGCTGGCCAAATTCCAGCTTTGAGTAATTACATTCTTCTGACAAATTTTCCTTGGCAGTTTCAATGGAATATAATTAGTAAATGTAAATAGATGTAAATAGTGCTGTAAATTACACTTTGCGTGATTGTCAGAAGCAGAGGAGGTAGCGAGGGTGAAGGGGCAAAAAGAGCAGAGCTTCGGTCTCCCATATGGACGATGTTGTGGCCTTCTCTGTCACCACACTGTGTGTGTCTCTGCCAGGATGGCGTGTACACGGCTACTGCAGCAGCAGATGCCATGATCCAGGACCATCGTGTGGTTCATCACACAGATCATCCACTTCACCTCAAGTACAATTTTGACCTGACAGTGTTTGGTCATGTCCTGCAGCTGTGCTCACAAGCAGCTGCTGTGTTCCACCTCAGCTGTGCTTCTGCTTCAGCCACAGGCAAACTGCTTCTCACACACACATGCGCGAAACTGCAAAATGTGTATATATGATATTATTGTGTCCTATTAAATGATTATCAAATTTGTGAATGGTTTGTGAAACCTTCTGCTACCAACTGAAGAAGTGTCATATAAATGGAATGATATAATTATCCTTCACAGCTATTTTAATGCAGCTTCATGTACTAGTTTCACCTGAAGTGGAAATAGCTTCTTCCAAAAATAAAGTAAATGCATGTATTTAACTTTATGTAGTCAAGTAGATTTAAAAGCAACTATTTAAAGTAATGAAAATACATTATAATGTATACCTTTCTTATATTATCTACATATTAGTGCTTTTCTATGTGTCAAATGTCTCTTACGTACATCCTCTGCTTCAAATACAAATTGATATAGCTAGTGGGTTTAATCAGATCTTTCTTTCATACAGAAAATTGGAGGATGATTTTTCAATAATTCACTTATTTTTATTCAAAATTTGCATATAGAAAATAGCTAGCAGAAACTAGCAAAATGAAGGGAAAGTTTATTTTCTTAACAAAAGCTTGTTGCACTATTTAGCTATAACAGGAGAAACAGATGTTTCAGCTTTACAATACCATGTCTTGCAAAACTTCCTTCTAAACGACTATTCGTGCTCTACATGTTTTGGACTGTGTATGGAGAGCTCTGCTAACAGTCATGGCAAGCATTGCATACATTAGTAAAGCCCACATTAAGATAATTAGTGCTAAAAAAAAAAAAATCAACAAGCCTTTTTTTTCCCCTTTATAGTATTGATTTAGTGTGGGTGAAAAATGCCAGATTTTCAATCTTGAAGATTCATGTTCCACCACAGAGCGAGAGATGGAGCCAGCTTTTCCCGGTGTTCTGCCAATAAACTCTTAGATTAACCATCTCAAGGGCTAGGAGGAAGAGCCAGGCTCTACGGTCTATCAACCCTTAGTCTCTCTGATGAACCCATAAACACAGAGAATGGGGAGCACACCACCTGGGACAAGGAACTCAAATTCTTAATCTTTGTGGCTGTACCTACCCAAGTATTTTCTTGTCAAAGATTTTCAAAATTGCTGTGGACAACAGAAATGACCAGGAGGCAGTATTGAAGCTGCGCTGCTCCAGAGAGGACTCTGGGCAGTGGTAGCAGCTATGGGAAAATTTCTACGGTGAAAGAGGCCTTTGAAGCTCATTTAGTATCTTTTATATATATATCTTCTAAATGGCAAACTCTGTTTTAATACAGACTATTTTCATAAGGGCTCTGTAACCTTGTGTAAATCCTACGATGGGTTATACCCATCATTTAACTCTTTGTCCGGCAGTAACTTTACCTTCTGCAGATCCAAACAATGTCAATATGGATACAGGCACATAACCAGATGTGATTGGATTACGGCAGCTTAAAAATTTACTGCCTGGTCAAGATGCTGAAGTCAGAGCAGTTTAAGGTAGCAACTTTTGTTTAGTATTAAATGGCATGTTAAGAGCATGCATATGAACAGCTGTGAATACTCTGTGGATAGGTGGCTACTTGCTAAGTCACCTTACAGCTTGAGCTTATTCCCCTGGGGAAGGACCCCGTGCAGACATGCATCTGTAGAGAATAACATGTCCTACCAGAACGTTTAGGATTTATTTTAGTAATAGAGCTATCTAGGTTAGCTGAGGATGACATTATTTTGCTTAGTGTTTGGAAGGGTTGCTTTAAAACCACTTGCTTTCAGGCAAAGCAATAATCAGTCTAAGCACTGTAAGGCTTTTATAATGGAAGGCCAACACATCTTTTTTCATTCAGTCTGCAAGAGTAAACCGAGCACAGCTGTTTTACTGAAAACAACCCACTGGTATTTAAGTAGATTAACAAAATTAACTGTGAAAATCCTCTGCTATGTGAACGCCAATAACCTGTTGGCCACAAGGAGGCAGGGCAACGATTCAGTAAACTCAAAGAAATTGCTTTTTTTTAAAAAAAAAAGAAAAGCGTTAAATTAGTTCAGTCATGAAACTCTGAACTGCTAGGCAAGATAAAAAGCACTTTTCAGCCACAGTGTGTGGTTTCACTATTGCTGTTTTATTCCAAGAGCAGCAAATATCTTAAGATATCCAACAATAGCTGATCTGGCAGCAATTTTCTGCTTCTTTTGAAGAAGCAGATCACACATGTTTCTTCTTCATCACTTCTGTGTGATGTA